TGTATTCCTATTTGCAGAAAAAATCTTTAAAAGGTTTTCAGTTAAATTCATTTTATATAAGCTGACAAAAGTATTCCTTTTTTCTGAGAAAATAAGTCAAATAGTAAACCTACAGGATGTCTGATCATGTGTTTCCTAAACAGAGAACCAGCAACATGTTATGTACATCATCGTTGGGAAACATTCACAAGTGATAACATGTGTCCACACTTCATGTGTAGTCAGGAGCATAGTATTAAAACCATAATATCCTCCTAAAGACTATTTAAAGCTTGTTATTTTACTGCATACACTTAGTGCTCCCATTTCTTATGTATGTCCCTCTATTGTATGGCCGCTGCTCCGTCTGTATCCCATAATGCCGTTAGGTAGAAAATATGCAATTGAGAGCTGGTTTCCTATGTGTTACATTCAAATCTCGTTCGCGGTCTGAACAAATCTCATTCACACGCATAGGTGGCCATGTTTTACATTGCTTGCCGCTGGCTTATATCCTGAATATGTAACAATTGCTTTTTATCATAGTTGAAATTCCATAGCCTATGGTTCCGTCATGTTGGGTAATACTGCTTGTCTTGCAGAGTGCTCCCCCCTTGTGTCAGTTATTGCCAGGCCAGTTCATACCCATTGCCATCTGGGTGATATCGAAATATTGCAGCAGTCTGACCCACATTATGTTTTCCTTATAGTTAACATGCCATTAAGTTTTGGAATATCTGGTAATATGAAACCATGTCCATATGTGTTCATGTTCAGATCTGTTGGTTTTCAGATCTGTTTGTGTTCAGATCTGTTTGTGTTCAGATCTGTTTGTGTTCAGATCTTGTCATGTTCAGAACTGTTTGTGTTCATAATTGTTCATGTTCAGATCTGTTTGTGTTCAGATCTTGTCATGTTCAGATCTTGTCATGTTCAGATCTGTTTGTGTTCAGATCTTGTCATGTTCAGATCTGTTTGTTTTCAGATCTGTTTGTGTTCAGATCTTGTCATGTTCAGATCTGTTTATGTTCAGAACTGTTTGTGTTCAGATCTTGTCATGTTCAGATCTGTTTGTTTTCAGATCTGTTTGTGTTCAGATCTTGTCATGTTCAGATCTGTTTATGTTCAGAACTGTTTATGTTCAGAACTGTTTGTGTTCAGATCTTGTCATGTTCAGATCTGTTTGTTTTCAGATCTGTTTGTGTTCAGATCTTGTCATGTTCAGATCTGTTTATGTTCAGAACTGTTTGTGTTCAGATCTTGTCATGTTCAGATCTGTTTGTTTTCAGATCTGTTTGTGTTCAGATCTTGTCATGTTCAGATCTGTTTATGTTCAGAACTGTTTGTGTTCAGATCTTGTCATGTTCAGATCTGTTTGTTTTCAGATCTGTTTGTGTTCAGATCTTGTCATGTTCAGATCTGTTTATGTTCAGAACTGTTTATGTTCAGAACTGTTTGTGTTCAGATCTTGTCATGTTCAGATCTGTTCATGTTCAGATTAGTTATTTACAGGTTTAAGAAATACATTAGTCAACTTAACAAGATCAGTCATTATGAATTCCCCAGTGTTCTGATGTGAAGATGTGGAAGTCAGTGCCCTTGTATAAGAATGAAAGGTCAGAAACTGTTGAAATATTTGTAGTATTACTTAAAGATGTTTAAAAAATGAGAAAAATTGTTTCTAGAAAGTATCTGGGCCCCACTGGGCATATGTTGAATCTTAAAATTAATATACCCAAATGAACATGTCTGTCTATTGTGATCAAAGAACATTGATTGAACTTTGAGGTTTCACGAATATGAAGGGCAATGATTTAACTGGAAACAGGTATTTCAGTTAAGTATTTTGAACATTTACTGATATATCAGGATGTATAGGTAGAACATTTTTTTGTAATCTGCAAATTTAAATTTATAGAGTTATTTCTGTACTCTGTATGTGCTATTGTTTTGGTATGTTTACTAAGTAACTTTTTAAACATATTTAGCCAAGTTTCCAAGGAACATAGGGTCAGTCGGGTAGCCTAGTGGTTAAAGCATTTTCTCCTTACGCCGGAGACTCAGGTTCGATTCCCGACATGGGTACAATGTGTGAAGCCCATTTCCTATTATCTGACAGGTTGTCATACATGCGTTATCTAATGAAACGTTGGCCTGGTTTTAAGATGGTGTGCAGCAGTGATGCTCAGACCTCCATTTGAGCTGTGAGATGAGGCGACATATATTTGTGTTGTTTTACAGACAGGCCTCGCTCTATGCTTTGGTAAAGTCACAAGAAATGTCAAAAACTGCTTTTTCAATTGTTAGAACTTTACTTGAACATATTGAAGAGTTGTTATCATTTAAATTATCCTCAAATAGTAAAAAGAGATAATCAGTAGTGAAAATTATGTAAAACTTAACTGTCGGTAACTGCAGCTCTTTTCCTTAATTGTAGTTATGAACTTTTGCAACCTCGAAACCCCAGAGAACTTTCAGCATCGGAAACTGAATCTTGTTTAATGAATGATTTAGGCCATGTCTCAAGTAGCAACAGTCTAGATGACTCCAAGCTCCACTTTTCCTTCTAAATAAATCATCCATCCAGAATATAACAACAGTTCATCGGTAAGCATAATTAAGGTTTTTTCTTCATCATGTCAATGTTCATTTTGACATGTTTGATAGGTGGTACGTGAAAGGCCTTGTGGTAGACAAGTCGTTAAAGAATTCGCTCGTCACGGCAAGGGTTTGTTCCGATTAGAGCCCATTTCTGGTGTCCGTCTCCGAGATGTTGGAATATTGCTAAAAGCTGCATAATACTAAACTCACTTACTCTGGTACTGGCAACGTTTGATGTTTTATGGTGTCAGAGGTTACAGTTAAGATATTAGAATTTTTAAATTCATTCAACAACCAAGGAGCCATTAATATACCTCGCTTCTCACCCCCTGGATTCAACACTGGTACATGTTTTTTCAAATCTGGCAATTTAAACCACATGTGGGAGCATGAATTACCATATCTTAATTCTGTTGAACTGGTCAATGGCTTCCACTTCCCCACTGTTGACGGCCTACTATAAACGTTGAAGCCCGCATTCACAGCAGTGTGAATGGGCCCACTATGTCTCCCTCACAGGTAAACTTATCAATGACGATCACGTAGCTGCAGCCAAAAATGTCATTCATAAACCATGCCTTGAGGCCTGTGCGTGGAGATTTATGTGGATGCCCATTACCTACATAACCGTCACATTATTATTCCTATAGAACATACATGTTATTATTTTCAAGCCCCCATCCAGCTAAATTATTCCCAGGACTTGAATTAAATTAAAATAAATCAGCTTTGAACATGCACCAGCCTATGGGAAGGGTTCTATTGAAATTCAGTATTTAAAATGGCTGTAATATCTAAAGTGTTTTGAAAATAAATTGTGAATGGTTGTGACTAAAACTCGGTGAGGAAAACAGGTTCAGGTAAAGTGTTGATGCTGAACTACCATGAATGTCAATGATATGATAATATCTTCTTAGGTTTAGATTATTTGGGATTTAAATTATTTGAAACAACTGGAGCATTAAAACATATCTGCCCTCCACAATGTGTGAAATACAAACTTGAGTATGTCATGTTTCTTCATGAGCTTTTTGGTCTGCAATATATTGGTCTGATTAAAGTAAATGGTGTTAAAGTGAATGCATTTGTTTCGGGATGGGTCCAAAACATGTAAGACTAAAAATTAAATCAGCTCATGAAAACATAATATCTGTGGTTCATGAACAGCAGAGTTGATGCAAATACCTCTGTGGATATGCTGGGTCAGAGCTGAGCAGGTCATAAGAGGCAACTGAATGGGTCGGTAGTCAGGCTCGGAGACCAGGGCCCCGTTCCACAAAGCGATCGTAGCGCTAAGACGATCGTAACTCCAATACATTAACATAGACTTACGTCAGTCGTAGCACTAAGATGGCTTTGTGGAATGGGCAGCTGGTTGATAATGTTTCATCATACCCTGATGGTGTGGAATGCTGCTTATGGTATCGATCACTGGTTTGTCTGATTCAGACTGGCTTATTTTCAGGCCGCTTGCATACTGCTAGAATATTTCTGAGTGCATTGTAAACAAGAAACTAAGACAGACAGGCGTCTGTTGACTTGCTGGGTGGGTACAGGGGATGTAGCATGAGATCACTGCTTTTGTTGGTTGGTGTAAAAGAATATTCACCGAGGTACAAATTCTGATACCGTTGCAAAACTGCCCAAAGTGGTCTAAAACTCAATCTCAGGTGTCTTTGATTGTTCTTTTACGTCGTTACTTCCATGAATGTCAGAAGTTTGTTATATACAAGAGAACCAACTTGGTATCTTTGAAGAAGGAGTTGGAACGCTTGCTGTGGGTGTTTTGTCATACGTTTTCAGTTTCAGTTTCAGAGCAGGTTCTCTGATTTATGTGTAGGTATTCAGAAACAAATCTGTAGGAAATGTCAGTAAAAATTTCCAAATTGGAATTCCAAATTGGAGTTCCATATTCCTGTTGCTATAGGAACAACAAATGTTATGGCTTTGTTGAGGTGACTTATATTTCACAGATCACAGCGCCAGTGAACATCAAGAGGATTTAGTGTTCAGTTTACACTACTGTATAGAGTGCAAGGATAAAATACGTAAAAGGCGACTAACAGGATCAGGTGGTCAGGCTCGCTGACTTGGTTGATGCATGTTATCAATCCCAATTGCAGGGATTGATTCTCATGATGTCAATCACTGGATTGCCTGGTCCAGACTCGATTATTTACAGACTGCCGTCATATTGTTGGGATACTGCAGAGTGCGGCGTTAAACAAAAACCAAACAAACAAAACCTCTGAATTTAATCAAATCAAATCAATAAAAACAAAAAATAATAAATTCTTTTGTGTTTAAAATAACAACTTGCCTGCTAAGGGCACTCTAAGTTTAAAATCCTAGCTAAATCCCGAAGATTGAATATTTTTGGTGTGTTGTTAGTGTGCTAAATTCTGTGTGTCTTGTTCCAGGTGAATCCCTATACAAGAGAAACTCCCCACTGGACGACCGGGAGTCGCCCAGCAAAGAGTTGCCGTCAAAGTTGCTCAAACACGATCGAGTGAAAGAACGCCAGGATCTCTGTCACACTCTCAACTTTGACAAAGATCATGCTGCACGTCTCAACTCCAAAAAGTCAGCAGGAACACAAACGTAAGTTGTCTCAGAATGTCATCTCATTACCTGCTGGTAACCCCGTGAAGATCTGGGGTAGAATAGGTTTTCAGTAAACCATGCTTGCCGTAAAAGGCGAGTATGCTTGTCATAAGAGGCGACGATGGGGTCGCGTGGTCAGGCTCGCTGACTTGGTTGATGCATGTCATCGTATCCGATTGCGTAGATCGATGCTCATGATGTCAATCACTGGATTATCTTGTCCAGACTCGATTATTTACAGACCGCAGACATATAGTTAGAATATTGGTGCATTTAACAAAACAACTTTCACAACTCCATAACATGCAGAGAAATGTCATGATGGTTCATAATAGTGACTTATCATTCTTGGTATAATTGACTTATGCCCTGGGTTTCCACTGCCCTGAAATTTCATGCAATTTATTTCTTGACTGATGCAAATATTGCCCCTTTTAAATATGAGGCATAAAACTAAATGCCACACAGTGTATACAAGATACAAGATTAGCTATATTTAACATTTTGGCTCTTTAGAGCTGACAAACAGATTAAGAAGAACACAAACAAATAACAGCAACTGAATTGTTATGAGTATGTGATATATGCCTGCTCTATCTCTCCTCCTCCGCAACAACAAGTAAGCAACTTCGTTAGGAAGGACCACGTCTGGGGTCTCGTGAATAGAGCATCTGCTTGGAGAGCTGAAGGTCCATGGTTCGATCCCCGGTCACATCAAACCAAAAGACGGTACTTGTTGTTGCCCTGTCTGGCATTCGGCATCAACAGGCTGGTGGCTCGGAGTCAGTGTATTGTGTCTTAGTGGTATCCATGCTAAACTGCGGCATGGTATCTCACTGAGCTTGTACATTAAAACCAGACAAGTACAAGCACACACACACACACACACACACACACACACACACACACACACACACACACACACACACACACACACACACACACACACACACACACACACACACACACATGTAAGTGCAATAATCTTGAACGTGATGTTAAACCCAATTTCACCTCACCTTCAATAAGGCGTTTTTAACTATCCAGTCATACCCCAGATGCAATTGCAGTAACACAGTGAGATTCTACTTTGCTGTCTTCCGCTACCTCTTACATCATATCACAATCTCTTACGTCATATTATTGCTTTAGCAGTTAGTTGTAGTAGATTCAACACCCCAGCATAGACATACACAGTAGGTGGCGCCACTGTGTTTTTCCTACTTTCCTACCACCTACACAAAGAACAACCTCCTTAGTCGTCTTAATGATCAAAGATTCACTACCCTGCTGCGTGTCGGGTTCCAGTTTGGGGCAATAAACAAGAAATAATGGCTTTTTGTAGAAAGATATATTCTGAAGTTATATGAGTAACTGTTCTTTTTCATATTATTACTTTATTGATGAGATATTTTTAAAAAAACTGGTTTAAAGATTTTTCAGCGTCAAGAACCTCATGCAAGTGAGGATATTTTCCTAACACTTACTTTTGAGTTTTGAATCATCCAGAGGTGTTTCTGGTCCACTAGAAACAAGTCGACCATCATTTGAACCTTTGTTGTTTTGTTGGTTGTCTGTTCAATTTCACCACACTGGCGTACAGAAATCTGCTTCAGTACTCTGAAACTATGATTCATAATTCTATATTTGTTGTTGATTCATAATTCTATATTTGCTGTTAATGAATCTTACTTTGCCTCTGTTGGTTTGTTCAGTTAGATGGTAATAACACAATGAGGTCACTAAATATTATTCCAGGTAGGGTTCTATGATATAGAAAAATGTTTTTCAAGATTATTTTCTTGAACTAAATTGAACTTATTTGTTATATATGTTGATACTCAATATTTGCCTTTACCTTTAGTTGCTTTTTGACTTAATTATTGTTTTAAACTTGAGCAAATAATGAACTGGGTTTTTTAAATTCACTGCACTGGCACATGGCATGAAAATGGATCATAATCACGTAAAATGTCACAAAATTTTTGTTGTCAGTTTTATTTATAAAATTATTAAGTTATTAAATTATGGGTGGCACATGTGGCTCAGTTGTCTAAGGCATCGCAATTCGCTGTGCAGAGTTGTGTCCCTTGGGCATGCAAGGAACCAAGGGTTCACTGATGCATCGCGAGTTTTAATGCAGCGATACGAACATGCGTCTACAGCTAGCTTTTCCTTTTAAACTTGCTCTGAAATATGTATAGTAAGAAGTTTCCACACGATTTGACATAAATATGCGTATCACGATACGTAGCGTGACCTATGTATCATGATATGTATTGTATCGTGACCTTGCTGTGTCGTTGAGTTGTCTAGCACATTATTTGGCTTTTTCAGTTAACGAGACCCAGTTACTAGTAGTTACAGTTGCAGTATTTAGTTATTCCAATTGGTGATTCTTATCATCAAATTCACTTTTTTTCAGGAGCACAAATAAATCATTCCCACTTCATTCTGATCAGACTAAATATTCAGTGCGGTAACAAGCACTACCAAAAAGTTGCCATGCTTGCGATTATCTCCTGAATTAATTATGATATTGTAATGTGGTGTAATTTAGTTTTATTGGATTTTTTCTGTTAGGCAATCAAGCTGATGACTGTAATTTCTACCATAGGAAATTTGGTGCCAGTACACCAAGACTTGATGCCAAATTATAATGGATGATGGATCAGAAGGAACAGGTTGTTCATAACCCTTTATCCATGATGGAAATCAAAACTGATTCCTAACTGTAAAATTGGTTTCCAAAATGGTCGATGGTGCATGTGGTCCTGCGCATGGTGTACAGGTCACGAATCAGGTGAAGTTAAGCAACGTTGGTCGTGGAGAGTAGTTGGATGGGTAACCGCGTTCGGCAGCTTGATCCTGATAGTTTCGCTCTTCATTGGCTTCGGTCCCGCCCCACACTGAAGCACAGGTACCACATGTGGTGTCTCCTCAGTCAAATGACTTTGTTCGAAATATGCCCCTGTTCACCCTGCAGTGAATGGGTACCTAGAAGGATAAGATGGTAATGTTACAGTTGGGTTGCTTGGGTTGTATACTTCCCAGGGAGCTGAGAATGAAAACTGAGAGCTGACTTAAATCCATTGACCTGGGTAATAATGCAGCACTCCCAGCATGCTTTAGGGTGTGTCTTTGGTGGTTTATAAAAATGCACATTATTAATATTATGACAGATGATGTATCAACATACAAGGCAGCAGCAGAATACAAAACTATATCATGTTTTTGTCAACCATTTTGGCATTGCTTGCTGTTAATGTGCTTAATTTCTGGTCCGTGGTGAAATGCGAGAAGCCTGTCAGACGTTGATACTGCCATATTTAGCTGAAAGGAAGGGAGTTCACGCTGAGGTGCTCAGTTTACCATGAAAGATAATGCAAACAGAATCAAAACCTGATAAAAAATTCATTTTAATTGTTGGTTGCCATGGTAATACACAAAATGTGCACATCCCAGAGTATATCGGATGCAAACACATCAATTATTTACAATTTCAGAGACTTAAAAACTGAAACTATAATCATTGATATGTGAAATGGAACTTCTTTTGAAGACCTTTAGCTTCACTGGAACAGTTCGCTGTGTGGTATGGATCTTTTGAATGTATCAAATTGCATGATGTTATTGTTGAATATAAAATTTGTTGTATGTAAAATATTCGTTGTGTAAATAATTAAAGATGATTTGAATAATTATCATTTCAAAATTATTCTCATACCGGTATTTGGTTAGTTAACATTTATGTGTTAATAAAATAATGTTAGCAGTTCATAGATGGAAGCACTTTAATGGATTGTCACTGTTGTGAAGTATGACGTTAATATAGATTCAATTAATGAATAATAATGTATAAAAGCCAATAGGAATGGATCAGAATTATGCATTTTAACTGTACAGTTATGCCAGTCTGCTACTTCAGCCAATCATTACTCCAAAGGCCAATTCTAGTAAAAGTCTCTGTTATCTAGTATGCTCAGCTAATAATCCCTATTATCACACTAAAATGTACTTAAAACAGCGCTAAGAGCCAAGGTTGGACACAGCCTGTGTTGCTGAAAGATTTAACAATGGCTAAAAAAATTTGAAAGAAACATACTCTTTCTTCGGACTGTTATGTATTTGATTACAAAAAGTACGAAATATATTATGTTTGATCAATTTGGTGCTTGACCTATTTGAATAGACAGAAAATGTCTGTCATTTCTTAAGATGGTCTACAATGATGAATGTAGTCTTGAGAAGCAGGAAATATTGCCTCCCTTATCGGTGTCAGAATTTGCTGGATGTGGGTTTGAATCCCCAGAGTAGCCCAAATACTGCTCTTCAGTTTGTCTGCACCAAACCCTTGCTTGTAGGTTGCACGCAGGTATATGAGTGTGGGACTTGAATGTGTTCGATGTTGTCAGTAGAATAGTTCTTCAGCAACCCATGCTTGCCGTAAAAGGTGTCTATGCTTGTCGTAAAAGATGACTAACAGGTGATCAGGTGGTCAGGCTCGCTGACTTGGTTGATGCATGTCATCGATCCCAATTGCGTGGATTGATGCTCATGATATTAATCACTGTATTGTCTGGTCCAGACTCGATTATTTACAGACCGCCGTCATATAGCTGGAATATTGCTGAGTGCGGCGTTAAACAACCAACCAACCAAATCGATGTTGTCAAGCAAATAGTATGCCATGTTGCCATGCAACAATGTTAAGCTGCATTTAAAGTTAATAAAAGTGAATACACAATTCAAGTACACCAGTTGCTGCGGTAGTAAATATCACTGAAATTGTTCAAAGAGTTAAACTGACCATCTTATAGTTAACATGTTACGTGGAATAAGTACTTACCATGACAAGAGCATGGTTAAGAGATGGCTGTTTGTGTTTCTAAAAATACTAGTAGTTTTATCCCCTTCTCAGAGTAATTTATAGATATTGAACATAACACTTATACTTAAAGGAGACAGTTTTTGTGCCAGACTGACTTTGTTCTGAG